CCCAAAGAATTTCACAAGAAAGCTAATAGAGCCGATAAATTTGGCAGTGTTTCAGGATACAGATCAGCACAAAAATTAGCTGAGAGTTTTTATACACCTGAAATGAACAATCTGAAAGGAAATTAAGAAAACAATTGTATTTACTATAGTGCCTGAAAGAATGAAATATCCAGGAAAAAGTTTGCCCATTGAGGTAAAGACTTGTACACTGAAAACTACAAAACATAGGTTAATTAAAGTACTTAAGAAATGAAAAGATATCCCACGTTCATGGATAGAAAGACTAAATATTGTCAGTATTACCCAAAGTGATCTACAGATTCAGTAAATCCTTTTCAAAATTCCAGTAACACCCCCCCCTTTTTTTTAGCTGAAACCTCATCCTTAGATTCATAATACTGGAGTGGGTAACCTTTCTCATCTCCAGGGGATCTTCCCAACCCAGGGATCGAACCCAGGTCTTCCACATTGCAGGTGGATTCTTTAGCAGTTGAGCTATCAGGGATGACCTATATGAAATTGGAAGGGATCCCAAATAGCTAAAACAATCTTGAAAAGGAATAAAGTTGGAGAACTCTTTCTTGATTTTAAAACTTACTACAGGGACTTCCTTAGTGGCCCAGTGTTTAAGATTCTGCCTTCCAATGCATGGGGAGTGGGTTTGAACCCTGGTTGGGGGACTAAGGTCCCAAATTCTGAAGGGTACAGCCAAGAATTAAAAAAAAACAACTTACTACAAAGCTGTAGTCATCAGAACACTGTGGCACTGACATAAGTTTAGACATAATGGAATAGAATTGAGAGTCTAGACATAAAATAAATTGACACATCTACAGCCAGTTAAGCTGTAAAAAGGTTGCCAAGTCCATTCATTGGGGGGAAGAATAGTCTACAAGAAACACGGTGCTGGAACAACTAGATTTCCACCTGTGAAAGAATGGAGTTGGACCCTTATTTCACATCATGTACGAAAGTTAACAGGAATGGGTCAATGTACTCTTTCCCAAGCACAACGTTTTTTCCAATCAGAAAGGATAATTAAAGTGAAAATTATTTTAAAAGAATAGAGGTCTTTGGGAGCAGTACTTCTTTTTGTGTAGTTTATTCACTCTACAAGTTATTTATTAAGCAAAAGTGATATGATGGCTCTCTGTGCTAAGCATTCGAAATACACAACCAAACTCGTCTTTAGCTTTAATTGGAGCTTATCTTCTAGCAGGGTAGATAGGCATTAATAAAATGATTTCACTCGTGAATAACAGCATTCTGATTGTGATATGTGTATGCAAGGAAGCATATGTGGTTTGAGGTTTGTAATAGAGGAATGCAATGTAGTTTCACGGAGGACTCCCTGAAGAGGGGGAGCTGAGCGGAGAGACAGAGGATGAGTAGAAACTAACCTGGTTAAGACCAGGAAGAAGAGAGTGTGGCTAGCTCCTGACATGTTCTGGGGGTTTTGATTGTCTGCAGATAGTAATGGGCTTAATTTTATCATTTTATCTTTTGTTTCTGACCCTTTGGCTACAGTGCTGAGTGGCAGTTTTCTGTCTCTGTGTTTCCCAGAGTGCTCTGTGCACAGAGAGTATTTAGCAAATGTGCACTCACTCATAGAAAGTATTTGAGAATCTACTGGAAGCAAAGTAATAAAATTCTCAGGCAATGAAGAGTTTTCCCTTTTTAAATTTTTAAAGAAAATGTATCTTAATTTTTAACCTCTTATGATTAAATAATGACATTATCAGGCAGCTACTTTTAGACAAACTATGGCAAATAACACCTTCTTCATAATTATGATCTTAGAACCTATTTATATTTTGATTTAAAATGGAATTTTTTTTCCCATGTAATTTAAAACCTTATTTTGAATGGAAGTGATATAAATGACTTATGTACTTTCTGCCAAGGAATTAATATGGACTTCCTAGAAACCACTGTCATTTATAATCAAAATGCTTTTAACTTACATTGACGTTGGCATTAACAAGTTCTGCTAGATTGGTAATATAGAAAGAAAATGCATTTAACCTTACTGGGAGATCGTTGATGCCTGAGGCTTTATAATGCTTTCTGTGGACCATTTAACTGCTGGCAACTTTAATTCACATGATTCATAATACTGGAAATTTAAATTCACTGTTAATTGAAAAGTGAAGTTACTTAAATTCTTTAAATACTAACCTTTGGGGAAAATATCTGAAAAATAAAAGCACATATGATTTTGGTGGCCTACTGCCAAAAGATTATCATTTACATAAATATCTCTTTCAGTAGAAGAGTTTAATGTATTGAGCTCAAAAGGTTAGAATAGAGACTTCAATCTGGAAACCAGCAGTAGACTGTTGGCTTGTGAACAGCAGTATTGTTCATCATATTGAGAACACTGTTCACATTCAAGCTTAAGCAGAGCTGGCATTAAAATTCAGTTAATTTGTTTCATGTGACTTGTCAGCTGTGTGTTTTTATCTAAATCTTTCTAGCTTCTCTTAGCATTTTATGTTAAACTCCTGAAATAGACAAACTACCTTTTTAACTGTTTAAGCTCTGATACTTTGGCCACTTCTGCAAAGTGATTTGCAGAAATCTGGGGATTCCATGAAACCATTCTCTTAAGTTTTCCATTTCATTTTAAATATACTTAGTAATTGGTTTGAAAGTCAGCTTAATTTATTGGCCTCCCAGGTGGTGCTACTGGTAAAGAACCCGCCTGCCAATGCAGGAGGCATAAGAGACACAGATTCAATCTCTGGGTCAGGAAGATCCTCTGGAGAAAAAAATGGCAACCCACTCCAGTGTTCTTGCCTGGGTAATCCCATGGACAGCAGAGCCTGGTGGGTTATAGTCCCTGGGGTCGCAAAGAGTTGGACATGACTGAAGCAACTTAGCACATACACAGTCCTATTTCAGAGGGCTTTTCTGTTTTGTGCACATGTGCATGGCCCCATAAAAGGGACTTCCTGAAATTCGTTAAGGTGCAATTGCCATCCCTGTTTCCTCACCAGCACCCTGTTGTGTTCTTGTTTGCTGATTGTGGTCTCTGAATTTCCCCTTAGATGGCTTTTAATAAATGGCTGCTAGTCAAGTGGTGAGCCTGAGGAGTAAAATGCTGGTCCCAGAGAAATCATGTTGTTGTAACCAGTATTAGAGTCAGATCCCATTTTACTTTTTTTGAAGGGCAGGAAAATCTTACTGTTTCTCTGAAACTAGACTTATTATAATCTCACAGTTAATATTAACTAGTTGGGAATTGAGTGTTTTGATGATATCTTCAAATTTACGGTGATTTTAAAAGAGCTTTTGAGGTGTAATCAACATATAAGAAATGGCCATATTTAGATTGTCCAATTCCTGAAGTTTCGATATATATCTATAGCCACCAAATCTTCACCACCACCAGGAGAGAAGACACGTGACTTCCAAAAGTCTCCTCCCATTCTTACGAAATCTCTCCTGTTGCCTCTCTCCCCCCATTCCTGACTTCACAGTAAACCCTTATCCTCTTTCTGTCACTACAGATTAGTTTTTATTTTCTAGTCTTGTATAAATGAAAAAACTACAGCTGTTCTTTATTTGCTGTATTCTTTCACTTAACATAATTTACTTTGAGATTTATCGATGTTGTATATATATATATAAATAAGTCCATTCCTTTTTATTGCTAAGTAGTATCCCATTATATGGATGTACCACAAATTATTTATCTCTTCATTGTTAACAGACATTGGGTTATATCCAGGTTTTCCATCCACCTCCTTGTCTTTTAAGCTTCTTCACATTTTCCATTCTTTTCTCTCTCTATGATGTATTTTTACTTACTGCCTCAAATTAGCCCATGACCTTGCATGTAGTGGGTTGAAACCTATGGAATTGTCAGTAGTTTACCATTTTGACCTACAAAATTGACAGTTTCATATAGTTCAACATAGAAGCATTTTTAATTTTTAAAGCAGTGTTTAATGAATGTCACTTTTTTTTACGTTTAAGACCTCTGCTTGATACAGTTATTTACTTATAAATTTAGCTATGTAAAAAGTTATGCATAATGAAAAATAGTACTATATTAGTAGTTATTGTGTCTGGTTGGTAAAATTATGTGGTTTTTTAACCCCCTCTGTTCTTTTGTACTTCTTTGTCTTATATATATGCTTATATAGTAAACACAGATAACTTTCTATTTTCTAATAGAAAATAAAACCTTTTTTAAAAATGGAAAAATCTATGCATTTTTCTAGTTTGCATAATTTATTTAGAGATTATTCTTTATTTTTGTTTTCTTTGCAAGAATCATGGCAAGAATCATGGCATTTTAGGGACTTCTCTGGTGGTCCAGTGGTTAAGATCTCATGTTTCTGCTACAGGAGACATGAAAAGACCCCTGGTCAGGGAACTGAAATCTCACATGCCATGTGGTGCAGCCAAACAATAAAATTTAGAAAAAAGAAAGAGCCATGGCATTTTGTAATAAACATGATTTTTAGAGTCAGTTAGGTTCTTTTTTCATGTCATGTGACTTAGGCAGACTGTCGAGTTTGTCTGAGGCCACTGTTCATGTGTGTAGAGTGGTAACTCAGTCTTCACTGTGAGGTAATCATTAACATGTGACATACCTAGAGTGTATGTTACTGTCCTTTTTCTGTTTTCCCTGCCCAAATTCTGCCTTTGGTTGTGAAAGTCACTCAGTTGTGTCTGACTCTTTGTGACCCCATGGACTGTAGCCCACCAGGCTCCTCTGTCCTTGGAATTCTCTAGGCAAGAATATTAACAGTGGGTTGCCATTCCCTTCTCCTTTGGTTAAGGTAGTATAATTCTAACCTCAGACTTGTCACCTTAGTAATTTTGAAACTGTACCATTTATTTTGTTCCTTTTTCTTTAAAAAAATTAATGACAGCAAACTGAGTAATGTGTTACTTACTTTTATAAGTGACACATTTTAAGTTTCATGCAGAATTTGCCTGTCTAATAATGACTTTAGTGACAATTTTCATTTGTTTCTTATTTGAAGAATATCAAAGAATATTCCGACAACTAAAGATGTTGAGCCACTGCTTGAAATAGATGGAGATATAAGAAATTTTGAAGTGTTTTTGTCTTCAAGGACCCCAGTTCTTGTGGCTCGAGATGTGAAAACCTTTTTGCCATGCACTGTAAATTTAGACCCCAAACTGCGGGAGATTATTGCAGGTGGGTATCAGTAGTAAATTTAATTTGCCCTCTCTGAAATGCTAAAAAATTTTCCCATTTCTAACTTTTCTGTATAAGTTTCTCCTGCTCCATGAAAAAAATGGGAAATATTGAACCAAGCACCACCCAGGAGAGTTAATGAAACTGAAGGTGGGGGGTCTCAGCATCCTCTGGGAATGCTGGGAAAATGCTGTCTGTTAAATTGACCTTATTATGTTTCCCAGCCTACACACCTGAAGCGTCACTGGAATTAAATTCCTTTTACCACACAGTCACCACTTTAAGCTGTCAACGCACTGTGATTTTTCTGTCACCAGTCTTCTGTCCTTAATAGGGATCTGTATCCAGAGTAGGAAAGTTTATATTCCTTTCAAAGGTTAAATCTGTGGACTAGAACTTGATGATAATGATGTGAAGGTTTTGGATAAGTTAAAGTTGCTCTTGCTGCTGCTGCTGCTAAGTCGCTTCAGTCGTCTCTGACTCTGTGCGACCCCATAGACGGCAGTCTGCCAGGCTCTTCCCTCCCTGGGATTCTCCAGGCAAGAACATTGGAGTGGGTTGCTATTTCCTTCTTCAGTGGGTGAAAGTGAAAAGTGAAAGTCAAGTCGCTCAGTCGTGTCAGACTCTTAGCGACCCCATGGACTGCAAGCCCACCAGGCTCCTCTGTCCATGAGATTTTCCAGGCAAGAGTACTGGAGTGGGGTGACATTGCCTTCTCCGAAGTTGCTCTTGAGGCCCTGCTGTATGCTCACGAAAACACGAACTCAACTTTTGTTGAAACACACACTCTTGTGTGTGATACAGTACTGCTGACCCACCTTACGTTTTCCGTGAATTATGGAGAGGGAGAGAGACTGTACTTTCATATGTTCTTTTTTAAAATACCTGTTATAAGGCTGTTTTCTGAGGTGTATTTTCTGTCTGTGGAAGTGTTGGTGGTTGTTCACAGGTGGATGTGTCATATGGTTTGCAAACCCACAGCCTTAGCTAACATTGTACTTACTACACAAGGATGAATTGCTAATATTTAGCAAAACTGTATCAGAATAATTGTTAGAATAGCACAAATACCTTGAAAAGTCAGAAAAAAAGTTCAGAATTCTGGTAACTGAAGAGAAGAATACAGACGTTGGTGACCCTTCACATGGTGAAAAAAATTTTATGTGAAGTAGTTGAGTGCCTCTTACTAAGAATGTCTGTGGAGTATTCAGAGTTCCCTGTCTGCTTCTGTAAAGTCAGTTGGAATCTTTGGCAAGAGCGATATAATCAATCACGTTTCTGTGCAGTAACTAAAGGAGGAAGTGGTAATTGGACTAGTTACTAATGTTCTATTTTCTTTGTTTACTAACGTTCTATTTTCTTTTGCCTTCTGGGTATCATTTAATCTCTTAGACGTTCGAGCTGCAAGAGACCAGATTAATATTGGAGGACTTGCATATCCTCCATTACCTCTGCATGAGCCTCCCCCTCGACCGCCGTCCGGCTACAGTCAGCCGGCGTCCGTCTGCTCTTCTTCCACCTCCTTCAATGGGCCGTTTGGGGGAGGGGTTGTGTCGCCACAGCCTCATAGCAGCTACTACAGCGGTATGACGGGACCCCAGCACCCCTTCTACAACAGGGTAAGCAAGTGCCCGGCATTTTAAATTGAAGAATTTCTTCCAGGAAAAGGCTAGAAGTGTTCTGCTAATGGAGTCTGTTACCATTTGAAACTGTATTTTAGCTGTAAAGACAAAAAATGTTAAGGTTGAATGTAATATTTTTTAAAAATCAGAAGATTTTTTAATCTTAATAGGTTCTATATCTCAATTGAGCCTGAATAGTAGAGATGCTTTTTGCTTTGATTTATTGTCCTGATAAGAAAGTGAACTCTGTAGGGTCAGTATTGACTGTCCTGAGCTTCAAAGCGATCTGTTTTTCTCTTGGTTTCTAAACAGATGTTCCATTTGTTGTACCTTGTATAATAATTTATATTGGCATTTAAAACAATGATAATTTTTATCTTACTTCAGTAAACCTATATTCAGTGTGATACAGCTTTTAAATGTGAGATAATGGTGGGTCCTAGTGCTTGAAGGACTCGGATGCTATTGCCCAGATAGTATGTAGTCTATTTCTAGAGTTTTATTTCACACTACCTTCAGTCATGTATAATTATTTTCATACCATAAATGTGATAATCTTCTACTTCAAATGATGAGACCACAATTCATTATCAGCAATATTCAGACCCTGTGGAGTTTAGTAGGTCCAAGCTATCCTCATTTTAATGGTCTTAAACACTAATATTTTCTGTAGGAAAACAAAACAACAGCTCTAGTATGATATTGGGTTGGTCAAAAAGTTCATTCAAGCTTTGCCATAAGATGGTATGGAAAGGCTTGAATGAACTTTTTGACCAACCCAATATTTTCTGGAACTGAACTCTAAAATCCATTGTTTCTTTATTTTTCTTTATTTTATATGTCTCCCTCTTTAGTCTGAAGTGAGAAAACATAGGGGCTAGCATTCACAGAAACCAATGCATGCCTAAATAAACTTCCAGTAAGCTAGGAAGACAGAGAAATTTGAATAAACGTGGCAAAGAAGAAATTCTGAGTTTAAATTTTTCAGTTTTTGAGAAATGGTAGCCATATAAGTAATTAGGTATACCATCTGTAGAGGTCTTATGAATGTTATTCCATCCTTTTACTCAAATGTGAGAAGGTGGAACGATAGCATTTGATAACGTACTTCATCTCTGTAAACTAACTGAGTGCTAGGCAATGTGAGATTCAGGTTTTTATTTAGCAGTCTTGAAATCTGCTGTAATTTTACATAAATGTCTCAACTGATAATTAGATAACAATTGATGTTTTGAGACCAAGAAGTTTTTTTTGTAATTACCATACCATCTAGGTGGAGACTTTGTGTTCACTGATTTCTTATGTGAATAACAATGATGTATAATGCTTTAGTAGTGTTTTATTATTTTTAAAACATTTAAAAAAATTTTATGCTTTTAGATTTAGTTATTTTTTGTCTGAAAGTTAAAAGCAGAACACTTTTCTTAAAATGGCAGGAGTGAAAAAGATAAGGGAAGATGTTACATCAGTATAATGAAGTTTAATATGTTTTAATCTTTATTTTTAGCCCATATAATCTGATAGCTCCTGTTTATATGAAGCTGGCTACAGATAAATCCTATAGTTATAGATTTCCTCTAAACAGTGGATTCCCCATTTAAATAATATCCTTGCTTATTTGGTAGATATAGTAAACTCCAGGGTATAAAATACAAAGTAAAATCTAGTAACTCAGAGTAACAATATTCCTGAAATCCATGCTAGGAGGTTCTTAAATAATTCAGACTGTTTTTTTGGTCTTACTTAAGGCTAGTCTTTTTTTGGTAAAGAATAATACTCAATCGAGAGTCTATTCTGCTTTTTTTGGTGAGTTTGTGAGTTAATATTTGTATTTGTAAATCACTTAGAACCTGACACATGGTAAACTGCCCATAAAAGTGTTAAATGTAAAGAGAAACTCTGGTGTCAACTTATAAAGTACAAAACTTTAGTTGCTTTATAAAAAGATTGTATTAAATCAACAATATAAAAATTTAAATAATATGACTTAAGTTTGGGTTTGATATCTTATAGAATGTGAGTGAGACATTTTTTCTTCTGTTTTGTCACTTGCATTTAAAAATTTGGAGTTGTATTTTGTTGGTTAGTTTCATTTGATAAAGCTCATTATACTTTGATTTCGGTAATTGTTTTGTCACGTGTTTTCTCCATAGCCATTCTTTGCCCCCTACCTTTACACGCCAAGGTACTGCCCTGGCGGCTCCCACCATCTCATCTCACGTCCATCAGTAAAAACGAATTTGCCCAGAGATCAGAGCAATGGCCTAGTAAGTATAAAAAAGGGTAACTAAAGTATTACAGTCAGCATTAGAAGTTTGCTTATTTCCTTACTGTAGTAAAAGCACAACTTATTTTATAAATAGTTTCAAGAAACATAACCTATTACTAACACAAAATGTATTTTGTTTTTATTTTGGTCAGGATCTATGGAAGGAAAATGACTAGCAGCCTCAGGGAATGAGTGACGAGTTATTACCAACCAGAGTTTCTGGCCTAGAATGTATTGTTTGTTATCAAGCTTTTATAACTAAACTTTTACATCTGCTAATATCTGATTTCTTTTTAAAGGACATTCGTATATGATATCTTTATCTAGCTTATATATTGAAGGAACACTTTGATTGAATAGCAGGAATTAAATAGGGCAAGGAAATTATCCAGATGTACTATTAACTCTAATCCAAAGCAAAATACATTTGGGCCTAAAATTCTAGGTGTTCCTGATGATAAACTTAGTTTACCAATTTAAAGAAAGAAATTCCCTGTTAATGTTTTGTTTTTTTATTTTTAATTAGGAGGTAAAAGCTTTAGAACTTAAACTGTTATTTAAATTTAAAAATAATATCATTGAAGAAAAAAGTCTGATTACATCCAGGTGTGCACTTTCACATATTATTTTAGCATCCTGTTCATTCATCGTCCTTGTTTGGCTCAGCCCGTCACCTTTCACCCACACTCTTGTTTTGTGTTGCTAGGAAGTTATCAAGGAGGATGCTGCTGAGGGCCTTTCTTCACCCACAGACTCCTCAAGGGTAATGGAGTAGTCTTGTGGTGTGGACCGCGAGCCTCTCCCGCTTTTGCAGCAGTAACGACTCTTAACCGTGATGACAGCAGTTCACTAACTCTGCATCTGTGGTGTGATGGGCTGCTAGTGTAGAGTAGCTGAGTACTAATAATTATAGCTCACAGATTAATTAAAAAGCTAATGTTTAACTTTACCCTTTATTTCCTCCTGCTTTTCCCCTTTTTCAATGACGTGGGATGGGTTTTGTGTTTTTACTTTTTTGGTTGTCCAGTAAGGAAGGGGTTCTTCCAGCAACCATCAGGAGCATTCACTTGGTGGTATTTGTTCCTTAATGTTGGGCCTTATTTTCACACTTGCCTGTTTTTTTCCTGAAATTCGTACTGCACGTGTAGAATATTTTTGAAAATATTCATAATTGACCTTGAGACTACAAAAAAGACGTTGTGAGCTAGTTTGATGTAGACCAGGAATGGGTCCTTAGTGACTCATGCTTCATCTCAGCGCCCACGCTTAGTGTCAATTCAGTGCCGCTACAGTGCTACTTTTCTTTACCTATATACAGTTGATCCTTAAACAGAGCAGGAGTTGGGGCACTGACCCTCCTACCAGCCTGAAATCCTAAGAGTCTAAATTAGAAACTAGAACTTATAGTCAGCCCTGCAGTGTAGTCTTTCCTCCTGGTCTGTGGTTCTGTGTCTCTGGATTCAGACAACCTCAGATTGTGTGTGTTTGTGTGTCAGTCGCTCAGTCACGCCTGACTCTTTGCCATCCCATGGACTGTAGCCCACCAGGCTCCTCTGTCCATGGAATTCTCCAGGCGAGAATATGGCCGTGGTTTGCCATGCCCTTCTTCAGGGGATCTTCCCAACCCAGGGATTCGATTGAACCTGGGTCTCCTGCATTGCAGACAGATTCTTTGCTGTTAGTACTGTTACATTTACCATTGAAAAAAATCTGCATGTAAGTGGACCTTCACAGTTCAAACCTGTGTTGTTCAAGGTTCAACTGTATTTATTAAGATAAAATGTGCAGATAAAGCTAGTCCAGCATGTAAAGGGAATTATTTAAAACTTTCCCCTCAACATTTTAGGATGGGTTTCTTAAAAAAAAACTTTTGTAGAAAATCACTTTGTATATTTATTATTTAAGTCTTTGTACTTAATAAGTACATTTAATATGATGAGACTTATAATCTTCATTCAGTCAATGAGGAATTTTAAGAACCCAGTTTGTATTCTCAGTTCTGTTGATTTATTTGCAGAATGTTATGCCCATGTAAACATGGTCAATTTAATATAAAGAAACGTGGCATAGCAGTTGGAATTAATTTAGTGAAGTAGTGCATCCTGAATTTATGCATAATTCTTAACTTAAAACATGCGCTTTAATAGGCAGTGGTTTTGTAACTTTAATTTTCTTTGAGTTAATATTAGTGAGATAGAGAACCATTTTGGTGTTTTCATTGAGGGGCTGATGATTCTTTTTTAAGTCATTAACATTTTAGCTAAAGTGTTTGAGAGACTTCATTATCCACAAATGATAGGCACAATAAACCATAGTAATTTCATTTGGGTGTTAGGGGAATCTTTAGTCCATGGATCATTGCTACCATATGCAAGAATGAGTTTTAGTTTAGTCAGAGAGCCTTTAATACATAGATTCATGCATGCAATGCAATTGTCTGAGCTAAAATCCCTCAGCAAACTTTTGATGAAAGTTAGGTCCTGTGAAGAATTTGATGGTCTTAATGACAGAGACATGCTGAAATAGCTATTCCTGTCCTTAAGGACAAACACTTGTGAGTAAAAGGTGTCTGTAATTTCAGGGACCAGTGAAGGAGCATTAGGCAAATTTTAAAATGAGTTTTTGGGGAAGGGGAAATAATGCAATTCTTAAGTTGTGTGTATAAGCCCAATAACAAAGAGTAAACATGCTCTGAAGATATTAGTGCCTTTGTTTAGTAAAATAACTGTAGGATTTGCTGTTCTTTTAATATTAAATGATAGTTTTGTTATCTCCTTAGTGAATAGTAGTTGCTTCCCAAGCCTTCTTTGCTTTTAAGAAATTAACAATGACAGTAGCATGTAGCATTTATTTTGCAGTAGACTAGTCCAAGTAGACACTTAGTTCAAAGCCATGTTAAAAAAAACAGTGGTGGAAATGTGGAGAAGTATCTATCCAGGGGAACATCTTATGGGATCTTTATAGCTGAACCAGCACAGAAGTAATTAATGTAAAATTTTTTAGTCCTTCATGGCTCCTATGTCTTCCCAGGGCTGTAGTAGTAGACTGTAATTCCTGAGATAAGAAGACTGCAGACTGAGTTCATGTCTGCTCACTCAACTGTCTCCCTGTGGGCAGCACTTGATGAGGAGAGCTGCTTATGGAAAGTCAGGAGCTACATAGACATTTTTGGACAAATTGTCTTGTCAATGTGGACACAGAATAATGAGTTAAAAAAAACCCCGCCTGATCACAGAGAGTTAACCAGCTCTCTGTGATCTTTTCAATATAGATGGTCTCATCTTTTTTTTTTTAACCTCAAGAAATTTCTCATCACCCTTTATAAAGTGGATCCTTATTAAAACAACTGGGTTTTCTCACATTCAGGAACACTGTAATGACTGTGACTTGTGAAGGCCAGCCAAGGATTTACCAGGTAAATTACAGATATGTCCAGGTGTTTCATGAAGGTGAATTTGCAAAATGTAAGCCTCTGTGCTGGCTTTCTTCTTCTGTGATTGTATAGTAGAGAAAATAAGTGCCAAACCTTAGAAAACTGACAAAGAATACATTAACATTGGGCCCGAGATAGGATCCCCAGGATAATAGAGCTAGAAAGGACTCGTGTTTTTCAGACTTTCAAAGCAGAAAAGACTTTTTAAGAAATGAAATCTCAATCAGAATTTCAGTTTATGAAACCAGTTAAAACAAGAACTCTGGCCTCCACCTTGGCAGACTTGCATCGCCTCTGGGGGATCCTCGTGCTCTGTGCTCAGTTGTGCAGACTCTTTGCCCAGCAGGCTCCTCTGTCCATAGGAGCCTCCAGGGAAGAATACTGGAGTGGGTTGCCATGGTCTCCTCTAGGGGATCTTCTCCTCCCCAGGGATTGAACCCACATCTCCTGCATTGGCAGGTGCATTCTTTACCATTGAGCCACCTGGGAAGCCCAGAGAACACCAGTACCCATGGTCTAGTCCAGCACCATGCTGCAGGTGTACCTGAACTGAGGCTCACAGGAGGGAGTCCTTGGTGCAGAACTGGAATCCACATGGCCAGTACCTGGAAGCGTTCCTCACCACTGTGCTGCCCCCTTTGCCTCCGTTAATACTAAGCCTGACTTGGTCAGGAGCTTGGTGTTCAAGGTGAATAGGCCCTGGTGATTAGCTCTCTACCTTGGAGAAATTACTTAAGCTCTCTGATACTCCCTCATCTGGAAAAAGCAGACCTTACCTCATAGGTCTGATTTAAGGATTACTCAGCCTTCGCATTGGAGAAGGCAATGGCAACCCACTCCAGTACTCTTGCCTGGAAAATCCCATGGATGGAGGAGCCTGGTAGGCTGCAGTCCATGGGGTTGTGAAGAGTCGGACACAACTGAGCAACTTCACTTCCACTTTTCACTTTCATGCATTGGAGAAGGAAATGGAAACCCACTCAAGTGTTCTTGCCTGGAGAATCCCAGGGACAGCAGAGCCTGGTGGGCTGCTGTCTGTGGGGTCACACAGAGTGGGACACGACTGAAGTGACTTAGCAGCAGCAGCAGCAGCAGTCTTCGCATACTTTAAGTACTTAATAATCATTACTATTACTACCGTCCCAGAGGCCAAATTCCATGAAACTTTAAAGACTCAGAAACTAAAACTGTGTTAAAGAACCTTTCCTCAGTGGTAGGAGTGGTGCATACACACTCCAGGCATTTTAGATTAACTTGACCCTTTATCTGTTGATGCTTTTATGGCCCCAAAAGGTGGTTTGATTTTCTCAAATCAGTTTGTTTTCTTAGAATTGAGAAGGATTTCCAGGTTGTCTGAATGCTCCAAATACTTTACACTTTTGAAGGCTTTCCAGGAGAGTTTTACTTGGTGCCTTTACCTTCTTTCAGTCCAGGCCCCTCTAGGAAGTAGCAGCATTCAGATCACTCAGTGACCATGAAGGGATGAACCCACCAAGGAGGGCCTTTCATGAGTCAGGTCTCCTCAGTGGCATTTTGTTGTGGTCTTTCAGAGAGTTGCTCTTTGAAAGAGTCATATTCGGTCTATTTTTATTTAAGGTGTGGCTGCTCATTTTTGAGAGGAGGAAGTGTTTTCTTGAAGAGGATGTTTTCAAAGGAAAGTGTAATGGAGGCTTTCCTTATCCTTGTATCCTTCCTTGGATTACTTACCATCAAGTCCTTCACATGAGTGTGTGATCATCCACTGTTTCACTATTGCAGTGGGATGGGCAGTGAACAAAACTGATGGAAACCCTGGCTTCCTGGAGCTGATGGGTTGAAGGGCTGCCAAGAGTGGGAATGATCAGTGCTACCAAGTCAACTCTTTCTCTACCTTCTCTGCTGCAGAGTTTTCTCGGTATCTTTAGATCAGCTGCTGCACTGAAAAGGCACAAAACTGATTAGCACGACGTTGGATGGTAAAGAACTTCAGTGGCATTGTTAGGAGCAGTACCCTGCCTTCTGGTGTGCCGTTACTTTTACTTTTAGAAATGGGTGAAAATTACTGAATGAAAGTCCTAGAAATGAAAGTCTTGGTTTTCATTAAACTGGATCCAGTTGGTGGAGTGACCAAGTGAAAAAAAGATGGGACTCCACTGTAGATCATTTTATTTCCACCACTGGTTTAGAACTAGTAACCTGTTTTCAAACAAATGGATGTCCAGATCACGCCGTCTGTCATCATTCAGGAGCAGACTTGGACGAGAGAGCTAAAGATGCCGTGGGTAAGGCAGGGCACGGTTCAGATTTCCCTGGGCTGTAGTCTTAGGGTGGGTGCTCTCTGACAGCCGCCA